GGTACATCTACAAATATCAATATGTATATATACATTAATCGGAATTATTGTATACATATTCTTGTATAGATGGGGGGTATATAAATGCAAATATATATATATATATATATTTATACATTAATCGGAATTATTGGTAGACTTAGGGCCCCAGAGAAAGGTTTACTTCAATGGCTTTGGGTGGGTGTCAGGGGATCCCGGCGCAGAATGTCTAAGTTGGTTTAGGGTCATAAAGGTTGTTTAGGTAGAACATCCTGAGAGCGGCTGGCGACCCAACACTGATCCAGAGCACACTTTTAAACATCCAAACTCATGGGGCCCGCCGGCATGTGCCAAACAGAGGGGCACCTTACAGAGGGGTTGCCATACTTGAAAACCTTGCTGTTTAGAGCACGTGAACTTTGGAAACTATTCGAGATGCCTTGCCATTATCCGAGTTTCGTCCGGAAATCTGCTAAAGGCCATAGGCGATTGGCACTTTGACGATAAAGTTAATCCAGCTACCCCAAGCTCTCTGGTGCCCCTTTACCGCCACCGAGATACTGTACCAAGCTCCTGAACATGGCAAACCCAAAGGCTCCATGTAGCTATATGGGATATACTTGGGCCCTAAAGTAATTATATGGGGGCCTCTTTAGGCCCTGAGTATATACCATATCGCTACATGCAGCCTTTGGCAAAATCTTCTAGCCAACCGTCGCCCAGAAGTGGCCTTGCTGGAACTGCAAGTGTAAAGCTTCCTAGACTTCACAACCCTAAACCGTGTAGGGTTTAGGGTTTAGGGGTTAGGGTTTAGGCCCTAAACCCCAAAACCCATCGTTTGGGGGCGCTGAAGGCCAATCTGATGGGTGCTTAAGAGAACGAGGTTGTCCTTCGCCCTGTGCTTACTTCTCAAGATCGGGTTCACTTGGTGCGTCCACAGTTCAGGGCTCAGGGTCCTGCCTTGAAGTCGGCCGCATTCTTAAAACCCTAAACCCTAAACCCCAAAGCCTTAAACCCAATAGTCCCCTGTAAGTAGATAGAACATGGGGTCTATGGGGATCTTATTAAAGTATGCCCCAAGTCATATTCTATCTACTCAAGGGGGACTACAAACCTTAAAGCCTACACCCTAAGCCTTCTCTGGGAAGCTGCGCAAAGCCTTTTCAAGCACGGCGCTGCCAGGTGCTGGTCTTATCGCTATGCCAGAGAACTTACTGGTGCTTAGTAGGGAATATATGGGAAGATCTTATTCTGTTTAGGGTTTAGGGTTGGTGGGGACTTTGGGAATGTATTAAAAAGGGATGATGTTCCCTTGCTCCCTGCTAAGAACCAGTAAGGAAGTCGCAGTTTCCAAAATCCTGGGCTCCCAAGGTGTAGGGCTTAGGGCTCACAGGACCCAACAGCTAGAATTGTCTTATGGTAGGTCAGTGTGCGAATACTACGAAACTGAGGCTGTTTCAACAGGCCTGCTAAAAGGGATCCAGTTTTGGAAGCTCTCGCTCACGGGTAGTAGTAAACGCGGGATGATGCGCACAGCAGTCATGAGCAAAGTTCGAAGAATCTGAAATGCCAAAGTAGCAGCACGCATCATCCTGATACCTGAACCCCAAACGTGTGTAAACCCATTTGTTCTCTGTTTATGGGTTTTGGGGCCACACTTTTGTGATCTAAATTTGAGGTCCAGGTGATAGTAAAGATAGCCATAGAAGCTGCTAGAGTGACACTTCTCTCCGAGTGTGGTCATCGCTTGTTCCAACCATTGCCCATTGAGGATCAAAGTAACCTTCCACGCCAACGCGAAAGTCCATAGACCTTGATTTGGGGGTTTACACGGTTTAGGGTTTAGGGTTTAGGGTTTAGGGTACCAAAATTAGGGATACCCTCTTCTGGGTCCCCATAATAAGGACTATAGTATGTTGGGGTTAATATTGGGGTTCCCCTTATTTTGGGAAACTACCATCTAGAGTTCGGGGTTCAGGGTTGTTGTGAAGATCCTTTTAAACGCAGGTATACATAGAAAGGGATATTGTAAGCCTATCTGGGATTTAAGGTTTACGGTTTTTCGAAAGGCTAAAGGGGTTCATAGGGCTTACATAGGGATAGGTATATACAGCTACATGGACAAGAACAGGATTAAGTGGTGTTCAGGGTTTAGGGCTGTTAAAGGGGTTATGGGGTTGCTAGGGCGTACATAGGGGGGGGAGAAAGCGAGAGAGAGAGAGAGAGAGATATATATATATATATAAATCATAAGGCACGATGGGATTATGTGGGATTTAGGGTCCGGGGGTGTTCTGAAGGTCCTTGCAAGGGGCTTTATTAGGTGTATAAAGGGCTTTTTAGGGTTGAGGGTTGAGCCTGTATGGTTGAGGGTTCGACATCTAGGGTTGAGGGTTTGGGGTTAGGGTTAGTATTACAGACTAGGGGTTTAGGGCTTGAGGTTTCTTCTTCTGTTTCCCAAAGCAAAAATGCTTGTTAAATCTAGAACCTCTGTATACCACTGAAAAAGCGTGACCACGTCAAGTGGCTAAGGTTCGTCACGCCTAGAGCATTACGGACACAGAAAGATATCATGGACCCTGGTCTTGGGATCTAGCCTAGCATGGGCAAGCACAGCCCGTTCAGGGACATTGAGAAACAACCGAGCGCTGGCTGTTCTCCAAGCCCCATACCCCCAGATCCACCTGTTGCACTGAAGTCCAGAGGGCTCAGCCCAAGAACCAATAATGGTGAAGCGGCAACGAACATGAACCAATGCTCTAGGCCAAAGCCAAGAGACACCCGCGTGTATGGCGTTGTGTTGGCGTTGACGTAATGGCGACCTGACCGTTGCAAGCAAACCCTCAACGATCCTAAGTACCTATACAGGGGATGCTAACCCAAACACTATTATCAATTCCTAGTACAGAGGCCCTACTTTATACCATGTATGTACTTAGGACCCTTTGTGACTGAAAGTATATACCTTCAAAGCCCGCAAGAAACAAATTGGGGAGCCTGTGCTCTCTCGCAGAAAAAAGCTTCACGACTCAAATAGCTGATAAAGCTGCTAGAAAAATTCCTACAAAACCTCCTAAACCCTAAACCCCACGCCCCTAATTTGACCACTATTCTTTCATTATCCGACGGCCAGCAACAGGAGGAACCATGGAAAGCAATGATCTCTCCAGGGCTTGCTTGAATGGCATGGTAGTCACCTGTTTAGGGGATGTATGGTTCAGGGTTCAGGGGGTATATCCTTTGAAGTTCAGGGTTGATACATCGTCCAGGTACCCAACTAGTATGCCCGGACACCTTCACATCTATACAGGAAAAGATTTTCGGACCACTAACCCAAAGGGAGGTGAGTATATAGTATACACTTCAGGTCCAAAGAGGTTTCCATATGAGCTTATAGCCCTTAATTACCCCTATATTAGTCTCTTATATAATCCCCTGTATAGCCCCTCTAAGGAGATTAGACTACAGCTCATATGACTGTGTTGGGGCCTAGGTACATACGATGCAGCTACATGAACCCTTTGGGTAAGCTTAAGTTCCTTCCTCCGGACCCTAAACCCAAAACTCGGGCGTGCAGCTGAGTGTCTATGGGTAATTCCCCAAATTAGGGTTCCCTTGAAAATTTGGATATACCCAGGAATATCAGGTGCCGTAATATGTTCTGTGACCAAAGGCCCACAGTTTTGAGAACAGCCCTTATGGTGTCGACTTTGTGCGTCTCGAGTTCTTGGCATCTGGGGTTCAGAGTCTCAGGCTTCAGGTTTCTGCATGAAGTCCTATCCATAGACCCAAGTGCCTACTTGTGGTTTATACCTAGGAGTAATTGTGGCTGAACTGTTGGACATGGGGATTGCATGTAAATCCTAAGCTCGAAGCCCGGGGGAAGGTCAGGGCTTGAAAGCCCAAGTCGGGAGGGGAATCACTTCTCTATATAGACCCCCTTAAGTAGATAGAATATGGGGTAAATGGGGATCTTATAATATATTCAAAACCATATTCTATCTACTTGAGGGGACTATATGATCACACTTGCACCTTCTGCACCCCGGCCCCCCCTGCATCTAAACATGCCACGATGCTTTTGGATTAAACTGGCGGGATTCTGGAAGAGTAGGGCTTCGGGGTTGCTGAATGTTGGGGAAAAGCAATAGATTCCTGAACCCGCACGAGAGCTCCTTTAACCCTAAAACCTGAACCCTCCACAAAAACCCCGAACTCTTCCTGAGCTATTAACGATTTTGGCCGTTTAGTACGTAGATTAGAAATTACAACCATGAGTAGTCACAAGTCGGCCTAAAAGCAGTGCACAGCTATGTAACTTACTACTTCCCACCTCTAGTTCCAGGTATGACTACCCATAGAGCTCCAAGTGGGACTGTATGGGTTAAACTACGTCGGAGCCGTATGCTTCTTGTATACTGCGGCTTGACTGTACATTGGGGATAAAAGCATCCCGATAAAAGTACGGTTCATTCGAAGAATTACCTGTAGAACGACCCGAAGGGGAGCTTCCGAAAGGAGAGCCTGGGTTCAGAAAAGACGCTCGTGGAACACAAATAATTCTCCTATCAGGGCTCCTAAAAATAAGAATAATAGCCTCCGTACCTCATGTTGAGAAAGGTGATAAGGCCCAAGCAGACATGATATCAAGACTCGGTACACCAGAATTCCTGCACAACTTAGCAAGCGAAAGCTCTTACCTGCAAAGGGCCCCTAGCATAGACCCTAACCCTATAAGGCTCTAAGGGCTCATAATATCAGGCTTTTGGGCCCAAGGACCATACTGTACTAGTAGGCTACTAGGCTTTTGGGCTATTTTGAGCCCTAGGGTAAGCGTTCATGTAGCTACTGGGCCTCGACAGTACTTACATGGGCATGGGAACCCCTGTCGACCCTAAGCCCAAAACCCATAACCCCAAGCCTCTAAACCCTAAACCTAAACCCTATAGCCTAAACTCCTGTATCCCCCTGAGTAACCCCTATAGCAGTCCCCTATATGACCCCCCTCTGAGGAGTTTAGACTATGGCTCATATAATACTACACTCAACCCTAAAAATGAAACCCCAAACCCTACTCCATGGACCCTTTGGTAGATGGAAGCCTCGCCTTCTTCAGCAGCAGACTCACAGTGCAAATCGACCTCCGTCAGCTTCCGGTCTGTCAGCGGAAGCCAGAAATTCAGTTCGCCACTCCTGAGTTGCTGTTTCGGAGCGTATTCTAAGCTACTATATACCCATAGTATGGTAACTTATTTCAACTCCTTACGCTAAGACTCAACATAGCCCCAAGGCCTCGTATAGTATGGTCTTTGGGCCCAAAAACCTTATACTATGAGCCCTTAGAGCCTTAGGGCTAACCCTAAACCCTAAATCCCGAACCCTAAACTTTAAACCCTAAACCCTAAGAGTTACCTAAACCCCCACAAGTAGGTAACATAATGGCCCAAAACCCTTAAATATAGCCCAAAAGGCCATGATTCTGCATACTTTGGGGGTCCATGTAACAGCAACCCAGCCCTAAACCCTAAACCCTAAACTTTAAACCCTTAACCCCAAACCCTAAACCCCAAACACCCATCCTCAAGCCCCAAACCCAAAACCTTAAACTATGAACCCTAAAGGTTAACAGCAACCCAGATTCTGGTGACCAACCCTAAGCCCTAAACCCTAAACCCTGAACGCTAGACACTAAACCCTAAACCCAGATTCTGGTGACCCTAAACCCTAAAAAAAAAGGGGTTTTACAGCAACCCAGATTCTGGTGCCCATAGGTTGCGTCATTGTGCGCCTTCACGTGAGAACGGGCTGGCCCAGGCTGCAGTCGCAGTGTCGGGGGACGCTGGTAGTAGAATTTCCTGGTTGGCCCCTAAACCCTTTGTTTAGGGTTTAGGGTTTGGGTTTAGGGTTTAGGCTTAAGGGTTTATGGTTTAGGATTCAAAATTTTCTGGGTTGGCCCCTAAACCCTTTTGAAACATATTCGTATATAGGGTCCCTTAGCATGCGAAGCCCTTAGCTGCAAAGGGCAAAGGGCCCTTGGCATAGATCCTAACCCTGAGGCTGTAAAGACTCATAACATAAGTCTTTTGGGCCCAAAGACCTTTCTATACTAGGCTTTTGTGGGCTATGTTGAGCCTTTGAGTTTAAAAATATTCGTACATAGGGTCCCGTAATAAAGCAGCAACCCAGGAAAATGTAAAACATTCCAGGGGCCTACCCAGCTTCATGGGCTCCTGCATCTCTGCTACTCCAGCAGCCACGAGGCGTTGCTTCATGTAGGGCAGGACAACTTCGCTGACCAGCCGGTCAAAAGCAGCTAGAAACGTGTCGTTCCGTGCTATCTGCTCGGACAGATACCTTTGTGCATCTTCACATCTTCCGCCGTTGACGGACCTCCCAAACAAATGCAACAGACTGACGGTCAACGACGAGCTTTTGTAACAAAGCTACACATATGCAGCAGGCATACTTGCATGCACTCGCATACGTCAATATAACATGTGTGTGTGCATATATACATATATAGTGTACTATGTATGTAAGCCCATCCATCCATCAATCAACCGATCCATCATTCTGCCTGTGGGTAGGACATGCGTAGCATGCAGAAATGATTCAGAGTATTCGCCCAAACCGCGAAGAGGTTTTGGCAAGTTCGCATGGTCAACATCATGCTGAGGGGAGAGGAAGCCGAACTTTGCGGCAGCAGGAGTATATATATATATATACATATATATATATATACGTATATGTGGGGACCCTCACCCTTGACCGCAAGATTGTGACAGGCAAGGATACAAAATACTCATCACTGGCTTATCTTCTGGTATGCTCTGACAGGCGCAGGGCAGTGGGCAATAAGGCTGAAACTTCGTGCACCTACGATCTACACAAACTCCAAAGTTGTTCTGTATGATCCGCCGTGGCTAGCAGTGCCCCAGAAGTAGATGATGAGGTGGCGATGGTTTTGAGGGTTGTGGCGGTGGTCGCGGCTGGCGGCAGGGGTGGCAGCGGCGGTGGTATGGCGGCGCCGCTGGTAGTGGCGTTGCTGCTGCAGTGCCGTCACGTACCGGGTGACAGGCATGGGGTGATTGTGGCCGATGGTGATGGTGATGTGGGGTTGGGATGACGGTGCGACTATGAAGGTGCTGGTCTGCCCTGGTTCTCGATCGTGGGCTCAGAAACCTGTTTTGATACTTCTCCGCCGAGTCAACCAATCCGTCCAAATTAGAGTACATGGACTCCCCATAAACGTGCTGGCTTGTCAAGTCCACGACTCTAACCAGAAAAGCTCTTACCAACCGGCGTTGCTCAAAGAAGGCTCAGCATAATCCTTAAGAGTGAACCTTTTAGCCGCTTTGAGCCCATTTGTAATGTCTACGTCTATAGTCCCCCTGAAGTAGATAGAATATGGGACATATGGGGTTCTAACTAAAATATACCCAAAGCCATATTCTATCTACTTAAGGGGGACTATACGTTTATGTGTTGCTCAATCCCTGGAAGCACCTCCACGTCGATTCTGCAGGGACGCAGAAGTCCTCGAGCTTCTCCTGCAGGGGCTCCCATGGGGGCGCCAGGAACGCAAGCCCAAGCATGCTGTGTACAAGTCTGAGGACATGCTTTCCTTTTCTGCCCTAAAACCTGAACCCCGAATAGCTCTCTAGTCCCCCTGAAGTAGATAGAAAATAGGGTATATGGGGATCTTATCAAAATATACCCACAGCCATATTTTATCTACTTAAGGGGGACTCCAGATTCTTGGGGTCCTACGAGCCCTAAGCCGTAGCCCATGGTCCGTTTCGCTCCTGTGCCCCACTGCGAAAGCTTCCCACTACGTCTGAGTCGCATTGCCTTGCTTCAAACACCCAAAAGCAAAATTCCCATCCGGCAGTTTGTCTAAAAAAAGACCGTGGTGCTGGAGATATTCATCGGAATTTGTTAATCATCAGGCTCCGAATGAGGATCATGGCGACATACTTCAGACTTCAGGTAGCACACAGGTTCTTTACATACAAAAACTTCTTTTGAAGGGCCTCTGTACTTGGGGACCAAGGCGGCCCTTCATTGAAAGACATACGCATACATCCAAAGGTTGGATGCATCATAGGTCTTGGTCAGATTTGAGGGACTTTCAGACTACGTGCAGGCATTCCCTAAACCCACTTAGTGGCTACTGAAAACTGGGCTTATATACATATATAGCCCTACCTATAATACCCCAAAACGTTGCTACAGGAGTTACCCCAAATATAGTTAGGATTATAACCCCCGGTTCTGAATAGTTGCCAATTCCCATGACCTTTTAAGTAAGCCCAACAAAGAACTGAATGACATCTGGCTGCTGCAGGAGGGAAATCACCGCCTTGCCCATGTCATGCTTGGTCACATCGTAGGAGAAAACATCCTTACAGTGCTTGTTCCAGGGTTTAGGGTGTAGGGGTTTTGGGTTTAGTTTATGGATTGCAGGCATACTACAACCCCCCTCAAGTACGTTTACTTCACCGTACTTAGCATTATCCATCCTTCAATAACTTTAATCAGGAGGGAGCCTAGCAGGGAGTCGTATAGAGGGAGGTAATATAGGGGAACCCTTGATGAGTAGGAAGTGAAGGAACGGGCAGTAGGAACATCCATTTCATTGCACACTATCCACCCCAGACCCTTAACCGCCCTAAACCTAAACCCTAAATCCTAAATCCCAAGCGAGCATCCTCTTTGAGCAGGCTGTCCGGGAGGCAAGCTTTCAGCGTCTGCTTTCCATTGCGATCTGTTGGATTCGGGTCATGTTTGCCTGGGCTGCTGTGAAGGAACTCAAATTAGGGTTTAAGGGTGTAGGGTTTAGGGTTTTGGCGGTTGCTATAATAACGAAAACCGTTTATTCACAACCCAGTTGCGGCTCTGGGGCGAATATTTGACCCGGTGGGCGCTAGATCGCAGTGTTGGAATGCCTGAGAGATAAGGCATGCTCGCATCCTTCTCAGTAGCCTGAGATTCTGCCAAGGGATTGTACCTAAACCCTAAACCATCAACCCTAAACCTAAACCCAGAATTTGTTAGAGACCTTATGCCTGCGAACAAACGACTTCACTAACATTTGAGCTGTTGTCTAAACTCCTGATATCCCCCTTCATAAGCCCCATATAACAATCCCCTATCTTATCCCCTACATCCCCCTGTAAGGAGTTTGGACTATAGTTCATGTGACCCAGAACCTTAAACTCCAAAATCCTGACCCGAAAGCTCTTGATGGCAGCCCGGCAGTCTTTCTGTCCCTATTCCAACCATTGAAAAGATCCCGGGTAACCCTAAACCCCCAAATTCCACAGCCTAGAGCCCTAAAGCCCTAAACCCTAAATCCAAAAATGACCAGTAGCTCCATAGCCAGCCATGACTCCATGCTCGGAACTGCCAGGTGCTTCAATTCGGAGGATGGCTTTATGATTGTTTGGCACCTTGCAGCATTAGGGCTTAGGGTTTAGGGTTTAGGGATCAGGGATTGGGGCGTACGGTTCAGGGTTGAGGTCAGCCAAGGGGTGCAGCTAAGTACCTGTGGAGTATATACGTGGCCTCTAACCTCTAGACACCCGCATGTGAATTTTAAGTCCCAGATAAATACTGTAAGATAATGCTCCTTGTGAGACCGTTCTAGTTCGTAACGTTTGGGCAATAAGGGGCTGTAAAGCGGTCTTGTAATGGCTAGATGGGTGCAGAAGCTTTGGGATTGGACGTGTAGGGTTCGTGGGTAAAGGATTTGAGGTTCGGGTGTTCAGCTTTATCGATTTGGGATGGAAGGTGACGCTTTGGATTTTGTGTCTTCGAGGCTTTGTACACGCGCATGGCAAACTAAGCATGGTGGAAGAAAACTATTACCCCAAAACCCCAAAACCTTTAAGCCCCAGGCACAGTGTAGATGACCCCATTCGGGGCGACAATCCCGCCCTCCCACTTGTCCAGCACCCCTGACGTAAGATTTGGGGTGGGGCTGCTCTGAGGATTGGGTCCTATGTGAACCCACGTGGAAAAGGGTTTAGCGTTTATACGGTTTAGGGTTTTTTAGGGGGCAAAAAATGATAAACCAAAAAGGACTTCCAGAGCACAACCCTGATTCTGTGAGGGCTTGGCAGGAGCCAAGTTGTTATCTGTGGTGGGCTCTGGCTGCAATCAATACCTAAGTTGTCCAGTAGCCTGGCCCTGGCCAGACAAGAAGCTACAATGGTATGGTTCCTAGTAGTTAGGGACTCCTATGCCCTAGAAAAATTCAATGCCATCTGAGTAAACCCTTAACTTGGAATTCTGAGTCCTGAGCTTTAAACCCTAGAACCTTTAACCATAACCTCTAGAAAGATACGGAGCAGGCTCTCACCAGCCAATGGGATGGCGTAGACATTCTCACCGAGGGTTAGGCCATTCTGCCACTTGTTCTGGCCTGGGCAGTGCTTAGGGTGTAGGGTTGAGCTTAGGGCTTAGGGTTTAGGGCTTTGGGTTGAGGGCCTGGGGTTTAGGTTATATGGGGAGGTTGTTGAAAAGGGGGGGGGGCCTAGGGACCTCTTGGACGCATGGGAATTGGGGTCCTAGCAAGGCCTGCTACACAAGTCTATTGTTGCCTACCTAGTCCCTCCATCTACCCTGTATATATCCCAAAATCAAGGACAATAAGCCTCATTTAAGGGTGGGAGGAGTGTCCTGGAAATCCTAAACCCTAAACCCTACAAGGAGGGTCCTGGTAATGATACTGGACGGTGGGACATTGCCTGCTCATGACCTGGTTGTTTCCCTAAACCCTAAACCGCGTGTTTAGGGTTTTCTGGTTTAGGGGTTTTAGGGCCTAAGCCCTGAACCCTAAACCCTAGGGTTTGGGGCCCTGACCTGCGTCATTCATCACACAGGGGTTTACTTGAAGGGTCAGGGGGAGTAAGTACCCCTACGGTCTAAGGACCCAAATAATAGGGTTTCAGGGCCCAGATACTATAATATTATTGGTATCTGGGCCCTAAAGCCCTATTCTTAGGGTCCCTGGACCCTTAGGGTCAGCAGCTTAACAATGGGGCTACCTCATGAGGTTGTTAATTACATGGCTTATATGGATTGAAAATATACTTACTAAGAGCCTCTGCTCTGAACTCTAAAACCCACCCTCAAAGTAGTGTTCAGGGCGTATAGTCCCCCTTAATTAAGTAGATAGAATACGGTTTTGGGTATATTATAATAAGATCCCCATATATCCTATATTCTATCTACTTAAGGGGGACTATTGGTCTATAGTATTCCTAGACCCTCGATCTACCCTCTGTATACCCTATATTGGGGACCAGAAGCCCCTATTAAGGGTACAAGGAGGGTCCTGGTAGTGTTTGGGCTCAGGATGCAAGTTATGTAGGGCGGCCTAAAAAATGTTTAGGGTTAGGATTTACGGGGGAACATGAAAGGAAAACTGAAAGGCTCTAGAGCAATTCACAGGGATCATCCTGAGCAATCACCAATATCATCTTGAGGTCTATGCAGGGTAATGGTACTTAAGGATTTAGGCTTACCCTACGCAACAATTGTTTATACGAGGTATCTTGGACCGTAGTCTTGGTAATTATAATTCTATGTTACCCAGACTGAATATACTTCGGCCGCATATATCTTAGCAGGAACCCATTTGATTTGGACTCGGCAGATAGTATGTGCTATGTAGATACTTCGGCGCTTTGAGATTGCGGTCAAAAATGAGAGAGCCTGCTTTAGTCCACATAATGGGACAATACTTCGCTGTGCACTCAACATACGGACTCTGAACACTAAACCTTTTTTACCCTTATATAACCCCTATAAACCCCCCACTAAGGGTCCAGGTACCGAATAATCATATACTTGCCCAAAACCTGTACCACAATTACTAGTCCCCAAAACCCAAGTACCTAATTATTGGGTACTTGGACCCTCTGGGCCCTTTAAAGGGTACGTACCAGGTCACAAATGCGCTCCATGTCGAAAAGGTTAGGGCCCACTTCGCGCACCTCTTGCGCCTGCATGCATCTAGTTGATGGTCTCTTGGTGCATTCCTTAACTACCGGGTTTAGGATTTTAGGATCTAGGGTTTCGGATTCAGGGTTTAGGGTTTTGACTTGAAGCCTCCGTTCTACCCTCTATATACCCAAAAATTGGGGACCAGAAGCCCCCGTTTAAGGCTACAAGGAATGATTTGGCGCGCACGCCCTTACATTGGCTGCGTATACTGTAGCAAAGATCTCTCTCTCTCTCTCTCTGTCTGTCTTTTTTTATCTATCCATCTATCTAGATATAGAACGATATACTAGCCTGTGAAACAAAAACCCAATTCAAAATTTACCGCTGGTCTGTGTAATGCCTCTGTGTCAATCTGCAGAACACGCTCACTTCCACTTGGGAAGCAGTACACCATGCCATCAGCACCTGTCATGGCCCCCAGAAACTTGTACTTGCGATCCGTGCGATGTCGACCTGATTTGACACACTTCGCATCCCCGATCTCAAACATCTCTGGTTCAATCCCGGGCCGAATAATGAGGACCGAGTCCGCATTCGCGGGAACTGAAACAATGTCACCATTGGGAGCGGGGGACGCGCCATGCCACTTGTGCCCACCATCTCCATAGTCCCCATGAACCGTTATCGCCGACGGAGAGATTCGCAGCACGTGTGGAGAGTTGTGGGGTATGCCGTATATGGCCTGATCGTGCTTGCCTACCACGCCGCCGTACCATTTGTACTTTCCAGGAAGCTCTGGTCCCACCAGCTGACATGTTTCGGAAACAGGGTCAATCTTCAAAACATGCAGCGCTGACTGCGGAATGCAGTAGATGCAGTTGTCTGTTGGGCAAATCGTCCCGCCGTGGTACTTCCACTTGCACTCCCGCTGCTCCTTGGCCAGTAGTCCTGGGACCCCCGGAAGCCCAAAGGGTTCATGTAGCGATATAGTACTACTATAGTAGATACTTGGGACCTCACGTAGTGCGTATGGGAACCCCTTTGGGCCGTAAGTATGTAGTATACCTACATAGACCCTTTGTGCAGCTTTGAACGTGACAAAAACTCCATTGTTAGGACAAAGTAGTTACAACCACAAACTTTAAACCCCAAACCCTAAGCCCTAGGGCCTCGGAACCCTCAAAAGGGAAAACAGGCTCTAGTGCGGAGCTCAAAATCGGTCTGAGTAAACCTCATCATATGGGATGGGGATGGTGGTGATCTTCCCGCTCGGAACCTTACTGGTGCTTAAGGGAGTGTGGGGCAGTGGATCCTTACAATAATTCCTATAAAATACCCCACCAAGCCCTAAAGAGTGCCCATGTATACCTCTATGTTCGCTCCTGCAACCTAAACTACCCTAAACCCTCGAACCTAAGCCTTGTAAGCACCAGTAAGGAACATCTATGCAAAGTACGGTGTCAGCATGACATGGAAGGCCATAGATCTTCCCACTGTCAACCTGCGTTTGGTGTAGGGTGCTGATTAGGGTTTAGGGCTGAGGGCTAAGGTTTTAGGGGTTTAGGGTTTAGGGTTTAGCTTATTACTGTACCCACTAGTATTATTGACTGTTATTATCATTACTTGTTCTATTCTAGGGCTTCAGTACAACGCAAGCACAAAACATTTCAGCTTTGGCCCAGCAACATTGACCCCTCTTAGCCATTTGAACTTGCCAGGAAAGATTGGACCAGTGCATGTGACCTTGCATGTGCAATAACCCAAAGGATCCTAAGTACCTATATGGTGTAAAGTAGGGTTGAGGGTTTAGGGTCTATATGGTATAATGTAGGGTTTCTGTACTCGGCGTTGGGTTAGGATCCCCATTATAGGTACTTCGGATCCTAAGGATAAGCATGGGCACATAAACGGACACAATTCCAAGCTCATCCAAGCAAATCACAGGATGTATGAAGCAACCCCTGGCATGTAGCTACATAGTATGTGGGGAGTTCCCAAAAGTCTGCACCTTTTGGGTATAGATTGTATACGGCACCCAATTTTAGGGGGCACCAAAATGATGCCCTAATTCTGGGAACTACCCATATAACTGGGCCGCAGAATCGGTGTACGGAAAACTGCTTTGAGGCCTAAGTGTAAAGTACGAGCGTACAAGAACCCTTTGCATGGACAAGCCGCTCGATCCGTAGCAGGATCACAGACCATAACGCGCTTTGCATGCCCAGGAATGAAGTAGAGCTTGCCGTCTACACCTGGCGACACGTAAACAACAAGTTTAGGATACAGAGTTTAATCGGTAGGGCGTAGGGTTGAGGGGTATAAGTACACCTCTCGGAATGGCACAAGAGAAGTACTCAACAATGAGGATATGAATCTAGAAAATAAGGTGGAACATGAAGCTGCGTCACAAAGTTGTTTATAAGGGTGGGGGGGGGGGTCCTGGTGAGACTAAGAAGTGGGGGATGGTCCTAGAATCTAAGCTCTAAACCCTAGTAACTCCAAAGCACTGTACCTAAATTCACTGCTGGCACTTTGTATCAGCAGTGGGTTCAGGATTTAGGTTTAAGGAGCCAGGCCATGTGGGGCTTAGGCTTTAGGCTTAGGTATCCCTGAGGGTCCAAGTACCTAACAATTATATACTCCCCCGAAACCTGTACTATAATTACTATTACCCAAATCCCAAGTACCCAAATATTGAGTACTTGGACCCTTGAGGTATTATAGACTAGGGTTGGGCTTTAGGGTTTCGTGTTTTAGGTTTACAGGAGCTTTCGGGTAAAGACTGCATAAAAGGATGTGCATTAAAAGAACACACCACCCGAAAAGAGAAACAAAAACAGACAAAGAGACACACAAACAGGCAGACAGACAACCAGGTTTGAACACACCCCGCCTATGTTCCCTCCCAGGTATAGGGTTTGTCCTCCTACCTTATCCTGGCACCACAGGTATGTCAAACGAGGCCCTCCAGCAGGTCGATGGTCAATATCATCTTCAGGTCTAGCTTCTTCCTCCTTCCTTGGCCGTGATGTTCATCAGATACATATATAAATATATACATGTATATAATATTTCTGATGAACATATAATACCTGTAATACATATATATGATAAGTATATGTATGAGGATATGACTCTTGCCCCGAGAATGGAGAGTCATATTGAAAACACCGACTACATAGGGGCTTATATATAGGGTGGATACTACAATGCGGCATGACCTCATGAACCTGGTGGTATTCTAGATATACCGCCCCCTCTGCAATGCTTATTGAGTATGTCTATGACTTTCTTTGCCAAGTTCATATATCGTATTACCCCAAGGATCCTAAGTACCTATGTAGGGAATACTAACCCAAACCAAACTTCCTACTTTTAACAATATAGATCCTAAAACCTAAACCCTGCTTGATACCATATAGGTACTTAGGATTCTTTGGGTAACAAGGTATGCCAAAGGGTCCTAAGTACCTGTACGGTATAAAGAAGGGTTGAGGGTGTGGGGTCTATATGGTATAAAGGAAGGTTTCTACACTAGGGATTAATCGTATGCTTTGGGTTAGTATCCCTCTATATAGGTACTTAGGATGCTTTGGGGAAAAGCAGCAGCAATATCTAAACCCTAATCCCTAAAGCCATTTTGAGTTGTCAGAATTATTTGGGGACAAGCCAACAATAAACCCTTATCCCAAGGCTCCAAGGACTAATACTATACTGGTTGAGGGTTACCGTAAGACTCAAAATAACCCAAAAGCCTAGTATAGTATGGACTTTGGGCTCAAAAGCCTTATGATCAGGCTTTTGGGCCCAAAGACTTTACTATCCTAGGCTTGTAGGCTGTTTAGAGCCGTAGGGTAGCCCTCAATCGTAAACCCTAAATTTCTGTAGGCCCTGAATACTACCTCCTAAGCCCTTAAGGTTCACCTCAAGCATCCAGTTTGGATAGCTTCGCGCGGCTCGCATCTCAAGCCAGTCAGGATTAGAGCCCGGGTCTCTGTCGAGCCTGGGTCCCAGAGTGCGCCTACTTCCGCCAGAAACTTACTGCTTGGAGGGTCATGGGGACTTAGTAAGTGGATTAATCTTGGGGATAATTGGGGTTATTATACGGCTTATAGGAATTACTAACCTACTTACTAAGTCCCCATGACCCTCCAAGTGGGGCTTAGTAGGGAATACGGGAGTACGTTATACAGGGTTATATAGGGATTACATTCCCTTATTCCCTACTAAACACTAGTAAGGAAAGGAAGATAGAATTCCTTACGGGGCCTGATATGGGGCGCTCCATGTTAGTTTGGGAGAGAAGAGCACTGGGCCAAAGGGTTAGGGTTTGGGGTTTAGAGTTTGGGTTTAGGGTTTAGAGTTAGGCCTCAAGAATTTAGGATTCGAGCCGCAAGTAGCCTCGATATAGCCCAAATGCGCTCAAATCAGACCTATATACTTCCTTTTCAAGGGTACTTGGGGGGGGTTCCTGGTTGAGGAGTTAAGGCTTAGGGTTCAAGTTTACGGCCCGAAGGCGTCTGTTGGAGCCTGGGAAATTTTAATAACGGTTCGGGCTAAGGGCTTCTGTTGAGGGGTTCAGAAGATAATGATTTCTTTTTTCCCTGAAAATGGGGCCCTCAGGGATTTTAAAGGGCTGTCCCTTTTATCGAATTGTCTGGGGGTTGTTGCTTTGACAACCTCCCGTTCAGACCCCAATTGGGATATAAACTTAAATCCCCTAGAATCGTAGGGGAACCATATAGCCGTAAGAATCCAACTACTCAATAACCATATACTTACCCGAAACCTTTACTACTACAATTACTATTACCCTAAACTCGAGAACCTAATTATTGGGTACTTGGACCCTTTAGGGCTATGTAGTACCCTATATAATCCCCGTATAAACCACCCCTTTAAAGAGTTTAGAAGCTAAACTCTGAACCCTAAACTCTAAGCCATATATAACCCCCTTTAAGGAGTTTAGACCCTAAACCCTCAACCCTAAACCCTGCACGCCCGGGATGACTGGTCACCAGACTTACCCAGGGCGCAACAGAGGCAACATAAGATGCTCAACCATCGGGTTGCTGCAAAGAAGTGATAGGGATATGTAGGGGCATAGGGTTTAGGCTTTAGGGTGTATTGGCATTTTCAACTATATGTGGGGTTTAGGGTTCAAGTACTTTGTAATTGGATACTTGTTGTTCTGGCACTAGCAACTGTAATATAGACGTTTTTCTGGGGGGGGGAGCGGGATGGTATTTGATGATTAGTTACCTGGACCATTCGGGATAGAACTCCAAAAGCAATCTCGAAGCACAGCTGCAACAAAAACAACAGCACAAGTACACGGACAAACAGGCTGGTTGTCCTAAGAACAATTGTAGCCAACAAGCAAGAGATCCAGAGTGCCCTAGTTAGACGTCCAGTCCAGTTGCCTACATAGTTTTCGGTTTCAAGATCACAGGCACCACCCAGTTACATAGGGTCCAAGGCCCAGGTGGCCCATCATGTAGATAACCGGCTTCCAGGGCCAGACCTACAGTTCAACCCTAAATCTTGCCCTAAGCGCTATCCAGAGTACCCAATGCGCCCAGAAAACGTCTTTACACCTAAGACTTCAGCATCATCACTAACTTTCTTTAATGGGGCCACTCTAGGCATAACGGCTACCCCCAAACGGACTCAGAGACCCAGAAACTCAGAGGTAGGAGATGACTCCTCGGCCCCAGCATCATCTGAGGGGATTGCCATGGCACAGAGATGTGGTATGGCAGGTAATTATAGCGAGTGCAGTGAGGGGTTTCCTTATATAGTCCCCCTTAAGTAGATAGAATATGGCTTTGGGACTATTATAATAAGATCTCCCTTTGCCCCATATTCTATCTACTTAAGGGGGACCATAACCGAACCTGGAGGAAAACTGCAACCCTCCAGAAAGGTAAGTTTAGTACAGCATCAGGTACAAATGCCTTCCTTGTAAACAAATGCATGCGTACTTGTAGAAGATGTCTATCATCCGCTCGCGAGATACACCTGTGTCATGTGCTGCGATGACTTCAGCCTTCACCCGTCTGATGAGTCGATGGAGCGACGTCACAACATTCCTACCCAAGGTAAAGGTACCCATATAGAAGGGTTTCCTGAATCATAGTATATAGAACAACATGGAGGCCTAAGTATATACAATACTGTACCTATGAATACATGGACTCTTTGGATTCAGGGTTTTGCGTTGAGGGTTTCTAGGATTTCAGCAAGATTCACCGTGCAGCTCAAGTCGGTCCAAATACCAAAATGGCATACGCTTCGGTCTCAAAATGGCCAGTAGGCAACCCAGTAAAAACACAAGTATATACCATATGAATACTTGAAGTTTTAGAGTAACCCCGAACCCTAAACCTAAGAACCGAAGGAGTGCATCTAGACTTCTGAACCTAAACCCTAAGCCCTAAATCCACGGATTTAGGGTCTAGGGCTTAGGGGTTAAATCTGCTTGACACTTGAAAGATGGGAACTCCTACGCCAAATCAGACGTTTGCGTTCCCTGGTGATCCTATAGAGTAACCCAAATATACTTAGCACCTAAAAGGCACAAAGTTTTAGGGTTTGGCTTTTGGGGTTTAAGGTCGATAGGGTATAAAGTAGGGCTTCTATACAGGGAATTGATCACATGGTTTGGGTTAGCATCCCCTATGCAGGTACTTAGAATTCTTTGGGATAGTGGACTTCCTCAGTGACCGTGGTACATCACATGCCGCTGTTCCAAAGCGCCACGGCAAAACGACCAGAATATTTAATAGTTCACGGTCGCTCAAGCGTTCAGCCCCCTTGCTGAAGTGCCCATCTTATTTGCGGTCCACACAAGCCTTCTGCCTTCTGAAATCCCTTGGCCAAGGCCTATGTCCTCCAAGACAAGCAAAGAACCCTGAAGTAAGTCGGGTTCAGCTGAAAAGGTGCATTCCTGGTATAGGTAACCTCAAACAGACCTCACAACATGACATTGGTACTTTTCTGGTACTTTTCCTAAATAGGGAGACCCCAACATAGACAACTATAACCCTTACTATAATGGCCACCCAAAGAGTACCTCTACTTTTGGAAAATCCCCACTTCAGCACCTACAGTACCCCTACAGCAGGAAGAGCTGCGAAAAGCTTTGGTCTGCAACCCAGACCCCCCTAAGGGTTTAGGGTTTAGGGTTCCACAAAATGGGAACCCTTAGGGTTTATAGGGTTAAACCCCAGACACTAAACCTAACAATTACCTACTTCCTCAATGCAATAATGGGGCCATGGGTCGGGGGGAGGGGGTCCATTTTTGGGCTCCTTTCGCGGGGTCTGGGAACCACAGGAACCCCTTGCATGACACTCCCGTCCAAATACGGATGGTGTCGATGAAGAGCCCTCATATGGGTCAAAGATGAACCTAGACCCTCCATCTACCCTCTATATCTATATCATATTTCTATATAGATAGTATATTCATATATATACATATGCATTCAAACTGCGGACCATAAGAGGTACAAGGACGGACCTGGAAAATTACCCTAAACCCCTAAACCCTAAACGCTAAACCCTAAACACCTAAACTGCTAAACACACCTGTATAAAGATCCCTACGAGACGCCAATGGAATGCATAGCCCAGTGTCCCAACCGGTCCAAGCTCAGAGTTGATGTTTAGGGTTTAGGGTTTGGGGCTTTTAGGGTTTATAGGTTTAGGGTTTACAGGGTCTATAGGGTTTATAGGGTCCAGGGTTTATAGGGTTTAGGGTTTATAGGGTTTAGGGTTTATAGGGTTTAGGGTTTAGGTTTGTAGGGGTGTTTGGAACCTTGTTGCGTAACGTAAAGTGTTGCAGGTTTCGGTGGACCTTTTTTTGCACAGGAATGGGCAGGCGGGGGAACACGCTAATCGCTACAGCAGCCAACCCTGTACCTCTGAAAACCAACTAGAAAACCCTAGACCCTAAACCACAAATAAAAGGTTAAGTGAAACCACCCTTCTCAATAGTTTCCATTTGATTTAAAA